TAGTTTCCCATGTTTTCCTGGGAGTCGACGATTCATTGTGTCTGTGTGTCTTTTCCCCTCCTGCACCTTCCTGGGCGCGGTGGGGCTCACCGGCCCCTGTCGGCGATCCGTGGGCGGTTGGGGGTCGACGCGCGCCGCCCTCTGCTCTGGACACCCGAAATGGGCACGGAAGCAGCGGGCACAATGCCCACCACCAAACCCAGAGATCCAACGCATTGAAAAAAACACGACGGAAATTTTTGTTGCAGTACGGCACGGCCGCTCCACGCACGTGTGCCCCCCTGCACGCTCCCGGGGGGCCCGCCGCGCGCGCGCGCGCCCGCCCGTGCTCGGTGCCGCTCTCCGCCCCAAAAGCCGCGCGCGCGTGTTTTTGTGCCCCGATGCCGTGCAGGCAACTGCGAAGGGGCCCCCAGGACACACAAATACAGACACACGAGAGCCCCCTCGGCCGCCCCGAGTTGGCAGCGCGCACAAGGGGGGTGGAGGGAGCTCCCTCCACCCCCTTGTGCGCCCCTTGTCCTTCTAAGAAGCCCTCCCCCCCTAGGGGGGAGGGCTCCTTGGAAGGAGGCTCCTTCTGAGAAGGCGCCGGCCTGACGTCTTTAGACAAGGCCCGCGCCTTCTAAGAATGAAGGGGCCCCAGAACACACAAATAAAGACACACGAGTAAAACATATTCCCTATAGTTTCCCTATATTTTTGGGGCTTTGGTCCTCCCACCCACTTCCCACATGTTTGCATCTTTTCCTGGGAGTCGTCGATGAATTGTGTCCGTGTGTTTCTTGCCCTCCAGGACTCACAAATAAATACAAAATAAAAAAGCTTCCCCATATTTTCCCTATATCTTTTGGGTTTTGGTCTTCCCACCCACTTCCCATATGTTTGCATCTTTTCCTGGGAGTCGTCGATGCATTGTGTCGGTGTGTTTCATGCCCTCCTGAAGATGTTGGGCCTCCAGGGGCCTTCGGAGCCCTCGGGAGAGATGGCGGAAGAGGGGGGACGGAGCGAGGGAGGAAGAGGGAGGGGGGAGCCGAAGGGACGGAGCACTGGATTGGAGGGGCAAGGAGGAGGGACCAGGGAGCAGGGAGGGGCGCGGACGGGACACGGAGGCAGGCGGCAAGGGGAACACCGACGAGGGACCGAGCGAGACGACCGAAGACACCGCCCTGGAGAAAGGAGTCAAGAGGGAAGGGGAGCAGGGCTTCCTCGGTTATCGAGGGCTGAGAGGTTTCATGCGTCCTCGGGAGAGGGGGGGCCAGAGAAATCCTCATCCTCCACAAAACTTCCCAATTTCCTTGCAATTCCTCCTCCCCCTCCCCCCTCCTCCCCCTCCTCCTTCCCCCTCCTCCCTCCATCCCTCCATCCCTCCTCCTCCTCCTCGTCCTCTTCCCTCCTTCTTGCCTGCATCCCAACGCATCCGCCTCCCTCATCCCTGCATCCCTCCTTCTTCTCCTTCGCCTCTGTGTCCTCCTCGCTCCATCCCTCCACCTTCCCCTCCCCCTCCGTCACCATGCATTAGCAGAAGCCCTGCGCACTCAAGCTAAGAACTCGCAATACGTCGATGTCTGAATACTGCGCATGTGCACTGCCAGCCAGTCAAGCGGGCGTGTGGGGCATTCGCCCACTGTTTTCCTACTCCGCCTTCGCAATTCGTGCCCTGACGTCCTGGAAATCCAAATTGCAAGCTTCAGAAGGTCATGAGGACTGCCGTCAAAAACATCGGCAGCGCGCCGAGAGGGGAAACGCATTGGGGCAGGCCTTCTCAGAAGGTCCTAGGACTTCTCAAAGCCCTGCGGCCTTCTTCTGAGAAGCCCCCTTTTGAGGAGGATGATGATGAGGATGAGGATGAGGAGGAGGAGTAGGAGTAGGAGTAGGAGGAGGACGAGGAGGAGGAGTAGGAGGAGGATGATGAGGAGAGGAACAAGTCTCTGCCATGCCTGGGCGCCGCCCATCTGTCGGCGGCGCTGGTTCTGATCGATCACTCCTCACAGCCGGGCATTTCAGCCATGTGGCTCGTTGGGGCTCACATCCCCGATGCCAGCATGACACGACACGTATGGCACACGCGCCGCCTGGGTGCCAGACGAACAACTATGTAATCACCCAAGTCGTGAATATTGAGGGCGAGGTGGAGGACGGGGTGGAGAGGACGAGGCGGAGATGGACGATGACGGGCAGGATGAAGAGGTTCGGAAATACGACGACGAGACTCTAGGAGGACGAGGTGGATTTTGACGAGGACGGGGAGGCTGAGAGGAGTGGGAGGACGAAGTGCAGGTCGACGAGGACGGGAAGGAAAAGGGGATGCGGGCAATGAAGCAGCAGGACGACGTGGGGGAGGACGACGGCGAGGGGGGAGGGATGATAAATGACGAGGGAGCATGGGAACGGGTGAGGAGAGATGCGGAGGGAGGAGGAGGGAGGAAGGAGCGCGGAAAGGTGGAGGAGAGGGGGAGGAGGGAGGAAGAGGCGGGAAAGGTGGAGGAGAGGGGGAAGCATTGGTGGACCGAGAGCGGGGGAGAGGCTCCGGGGCAGGCGCGGCACCCTCGTACTGCACTGCCCTGCCAAGGGGGACGGTGCGGGCCCCCCTCCCGGGGTCCCCCGCACCCGTCGCACCTCCTCCCGACGCCTGCGCCACGGGCAGGCTGGGGCAAACTTCGATGCCCTCGCTGCTCCTCCTGGCCCTCCCTCGTCTTCCCCCTTCCCACTCATCCCATCTCTCTGCTCCTCCTGGAGCTCCTGGCTCCCCCCCTCTCTCCCTCCCGCGTTCGACCTGCGGCGAGAGAGACGACAGCAGGGAAGCGAGGAAAACGAGGACGACGAAGGCGACGACGAGGACGACGAGAACATCGATGGACGAGGAGGACGGCAAGGCCGACGAACACGACGATCAGGACGAGGACGACGACGGCGGCGAGGGGAGGGCGACCCCTGCGACGACGACGAGGCCGGCGGAGGCGACGGGCGCGCGTCCGTGGCGCAGGCTCGCTTGAAGGGCATTCTTCAGCACCTCGGGGAAGCCGGGGGGGGGGCGGGCGGGCGTGTGCTGCTCTTGGAGGTGGGCAAGCCGGTAGCGCGCGCCCCCGCCGGGAGGAGGACGAGGGGCAGGATTTTCTTGTGGATTTCTGGGCATCGTGCAGCCGACCCCCATCCCCACGCGCGTGGCCTGGGCCCCACTGGCCGCTTGACCCCCCTAGACAGGGATGCATGCCGTTTCCTTGGGGTTTCGAGGGGTGCATCCCCAACTGGGGTGCTGAGATGGTGGGGGTCTGGATGGGGATGGGGATGGGGATAGCGGTCGGTTAAACGATCATGGATTTCGACGCTGATCTATCATGAGCCTGTTTGCAGGGGACGGCACACAAATCGCAGAACGTTGGTCAGACTGAAGACTGTGCACGGGCACCAAGGAGCTCTGAGACCGGAGTCCTTCCCACCCCCATTTCACCATAGGAGCAAAGGGGGTGGGAGGGGGGAGGGGGGCGAGGATGGTTACGTGTTCGAACATGGGCCCTTGTCACCCATCGCTCCTTGGCCGTGTTCGGCGGTCTTCGGGCGGTTTTCTGTGGCCTTCGGTGGCTTTCTGTCAGTCTTCGGCAATCTTCGTCGGTTTCCGTCGGTTTTCGGCGCGAAAGCTGGACAGTTGCAGTCAACAAGGACTCCATGATCGAACACCGAAAGGGAGGAGGGAAGGGAGGAGGGAGGGGAAGGTGGGCGGGTGTAGGAGGCAATTCCTAGAAGGTCTTCGCATGAACTATGAAGGATGACTGAGCTCGATTAGGGGGCCAGTAAAGTGGGCTAGGCCAGATTCAGCTTCGGATTGAGCCAGATTGGGCGACATTGAGCGGGTCGATGCTGGATTCGGCCAGGTTGCGACCACGGATATACCAGCGCCGATGCATCCTGAAGGAAGGGGAGAATAGCTGCAGGGGGAGGGGGGAGGGGGGGAGGACGGTGCCACCTGGTCAACCAACAAATCCTGGCCCAATTATCTGGGACACGATTTCCTTGTCAACGAAAGATATTAGCCATCGTGGAACAAACAATGGTTTCTAGCATGCTGGGTGATGCAAGCTACGTGATGCAAACTATGTGGCGCAAGCTATGCGGTGTAAGCTATGTGGTGCAGGCGATGCAGTAGATTCTGCGTGGTGCAATGTACGTGGTGCAACATGTGTGGTGCGATCTATGGGGTGTGAGCTATGCGATGCAACCAAAGTGGTGCAATCAATGCAGTTCGTTCTATGTGGTGTGAGCTAATTTGTCAAAGTTATGTGTTGCAAACTATGCGGAACAACGTGCTCAGCTAGGTGATGCGGGCAACGCGGTTTAAGCTATGTGGTGCAGTCAATGGCGTGCGATCGATGGGGTGTAAGTACTGTAGTGCAGTCGATGTGGTGCAATACATGTGGTGCGATCTATGTACGTAATGCAATATACGTGGCACAGGCTATTTCGTGGCATCCGTTTGGTGTGAGCTATGAACATCTCTGAGCTATGCGGCGTGAGCTATGGGGCGCAGTCTGTGTGGTGCAATCTGTGTGGTGCGAACCGCGTGGTGCCATCTGCGTGGTGCAAGCTATGCCGTTGGCAACCCACGCTGGCGAACGCACCGCGCAAAACGGCGACGAAGCGGCGGCCACGGGCGGCGGCGACGAGGCGGCGGCCGGGCGGCGACGGGGTGACCAACACTCTGGCGTGGGCGGCGCACGCGCCTGGCTCCTTCTTGAAAACGGGGGAGAAGGGCCTCCGAGTGCACGCCCCGTTTCGGCAGCTCCTTCTCGAAAGCGAAGGAGAGGGCCCCTGAGTGCACGCCCTGCTTCGGGAGGAGGAGGGTGCTGCCAAGGAGCTGGTCTCAGGTCGGGCATGTCCTCCTACGGGCGGATTTTGGAAGACAGCTGAGACAAATAGCTCAACAATACTGTTGAGTGCACGCCCCGTGTCGGGAAGAAGAGGGTGCTCCCCGTCCGACTCGGAGGCCAGGGTCAGGGGCTGACCAGTGCTCGCTGGTTCTCGTGTACAGGGGTCGGGCGGTGGCTTTCGGCATCCAAGAGGCCGCTTCTGAAGTGCTCTGACGCTCCTGGCAAGCGCTAGCATTGATCTAGCGTGGACTTGGGCCGCGCTCTTGGGAGCCGCAAACCCCTGGAACCAGCCCGGATCACAATGTCGGAGCCAAAGCAGGACTGCCCCGACGGACGGACCCGCGCACCCAGTTGAAAGCACACAGGCAACAAACAAAAGAAGAAGAGGGTGCTGCCAAGGAGCTAGTCTTAGGTCGGGCATGTCCTCCGACACGCGGGCTTTGGAAGACAGCTGAAGCACATAGCTAAACAATACTGAAACAGTGTCAGGTAATGCTTCAACATCCGCGGGCCCGCCTGCGGGGCAACCAGGCTGCGAGGGTTCGGGTTGCAGTATCCTGCACAAGTTTCAGTTTCCAGTACCCTGCAAGTGCCAGTTTCCAGTTTCCAATGTTACACTCTTGCTTTCTGCTTCCTACTGTATATAGTTACTGTCAGTGCGAGGGGGCTTAGCCGAGAACGACCCTGGTTATCCTCCAGCACGGTTCTCAGAATTTCTGCGGAGGCCCTGGGTCAGGCAAAAATGCATGAGACTCGCGTCTCCGAGGCCACGATCCCTCGCGAATTCCGCCGCATTCGCGCCCCCAGAGCCATGATCCTGTGTACTCTGTGTCCCTCAATAGTTCTGGGGGTACCTGTAGTCTGGGGTGGGTACCTGTAGTTCGGGGGGGGCCAGTAGTCCGGGGGGGGACCTGTAGTCCGGGGAAGGGGTACCTGCAGTCCAGGGGGGGGTTACCTGTAGTCTGGGGGTGGGGCCGCGCGGGTGTACCTGTAGTCCGAGGGGGGCGCATGGTATTCGTCGAAGCACGCGCGGCTCCACGCGCACGGGTTTCGGCGCGCGGGTGTCTGCGCGCCGAAACCCGTGCGCCTCCCTCCATCACTCCCTCCATCCCTCCCTCCTTGTGCTGTGTTTTCTCAATGTCTCGCCGTCTCTCTTTCTGTCAGTCCGACAGTCGGTGTCTCTCTTTCTCTCCCAATATCTCTGCTCCTCCCTTCCTCCCTACTCGTGAGCCTCTTTTTCTGTAGATGTATCTTTCCTGTTGTCGTTCTGTCCCTGTTTCGATGCCCGTTCGTCCCTCGATAGTGCCCCGTCTCGGCCACTGACCCAATGTGGGCGATGGTTGGAAATGTGCAGAGACATGCTTGGTGGGCCGCTTTGGCTCCCAAGGGATAGCGAATTGACGGGGTCCTGTAGCTTCGGAAAGAATTTGTAGCGCCTAACGGGGGTACCTGTAGTCCGGGGGGGGTACCTGTACTCCGGGGAGGGGTACTTGTAATCCGGGGGGGGTACCTGTAGTCCGGGGGGGGGGTACCTGTAGTCCGGGGGGGTGTACGGAAGGGTACCTGTGGGTACCAGTAGTCCTGGGACCCAGAACCATTGAGGGACACAGAGTGAATCACAAAACACGTGCGTCCCCGAAACAAGAAACCTTTTGTAACTCATATGATATTCGTGTTCCCGAGGCCATTCCAGCAACTTGCGCAGTCTTCGCGTCCTCGAGGCCCAAAAACACCGGTAAAGGGCACAATCTTCGCGTCCCTGGGGCCATAAAGCACTCGCAACTTGCACAATGCGCTCCCCGAGGCCGTACACGCTCGTACGTTCTGCAACGTTCGCGTTCCCGAGGCCAGAACCCGTGGAGAATTACAGTCTTCGCGTCCCCGATGCCATACACCTATATACATTAAACGGGAGTCGCGTCCCTGGGGCCACAAAAACCTAGTGAACTACGCGATGTTCGCGCCCCCGACGCTTGAAACCTTTGCAGCCTCAACAATATTCGCGTCCCCGAGGCCAAAAATCCTTGCAAACTACCAGAGTCGCGTCCCCGAGGCCACAAACCGTCGTACATTACAAGTTGCGCCCCCGAGACCATGAGCCCTTTGCAACTTCTGCAAGACTCGCGCCCCCGAGTTCAGGATTCCTTGCTAATTAGGGCGCGCTCGCGCCCCCGAGGCCTCAATCCCTAATGACAGTCGCCGAAGAGCCCGAAGACCGCGCCGGCGGCGTGATTTTGCCCACTCTAGCCTCAAGCAGCCCCCAATCTTTCCAAGAGGGCCTCCAATGCACAGCATGCGGGGGCAGGTCCAAAATGCAACACCGAATTCAACAATACCAACTGAATCTACATCTTTCCTGCCGATTGCCGATCGTCCTCGCATGAGATTCCGTCACTGCTTCAGCACGGCGCCCAGACCTAACGACGTAGCTCTTGCATGATCCATTATCCGAAGGAGGGGGACAGCGGCAGGGGGCGAAGCCCTTACTGATAGTCAGGAAAACATCCTCCCCTGACTAGTTTTTGACTATTTTTGAATACTCCTCCTGTAGAGGGACATGCCCGACTTAAACCTTGTCCGACAAACCAGGGGACCTCCCTCCCACGACCAAGAACTTCGGCGGAGTCCCCACGACGCCGCGGGAGACCCGCGCAACCCACCAAGGGCTCCCAGCCCTCCACGAAGCCTGAGCACACGAAACCTGAGCACTTGAGAACGTCCAGCCACTCCAAGTCGTCCCGATCGTCGTACATGAGCCACGACCAGATCCGATCGGGGAGAGGCGGATCAAGGACGGTGGCTTGCCGCTTGCTGGTGGCCAACGGATACGGTGGACGCGGCTCTGCGACTGGCGGGCAGAACTCTCGGGCGCTTTGAGTCGGGGGGACGGCCCCTGATCTAGGAAGAAAAAACGGCATGCACTGAAGAGTCCCTGCCACACACACATATATATATACACATATATAAATATATGTGTAATGCATAAAGACACATATCCCAATATTCCTCATATTTTCGTTTCTGGGTTTTCGTATTCCCCCCCTGTCCAACATATTCCACTATTCTTCCTGGGAGTCGACGATTCATTGTCTGTGTGTGTGGGTGTGTGTGTGTGTGTTTGGTTTCCCTCCTGAGAAACCTGAGCACACCTCAAGAGTCGCAGAAACCGCAGCAACTTCGCGCAGCCCCAAGAAACGAAACGGAGCCCCCAAAAAACCTCAGGGACGCCCTCGGCCAGCCAAGACATGCCGACCAACCAAGACACCCAACCAACAAGCCCGGTATACCACCCCCATGCAGCCATCAGCTCGCAGAGCCTTCATGGGACCCTTCTCGTCCTCGTGTGCACGGAATTTCTCCACACCCGCCCCACAAGGACAGCATTCAAACGCCACTAACATGCAATAGATGGTCGCACCCACAGAAAAGAACCCGCAAACAACCCCACCAGTTCCGAAACGGACACGTTCGAGGTCCCAGGAATCACCAGGAACCATGAAGAACCTTCAGGAGGCATCAAGAGGCCCTCCCGAACGCAGAAGGAAGAGCGAAGAAGCGAGGAGATCCTCGTCGTCATCGCAGTCCTCCTCCTCCTCCTCCTCCTCGTCCTCCTCCTCTTCCTTCTCCTTCTCCTCCTCCTCCTCCTCCAACTCCTCCTCGTCCTCCTCCTCCTCCTCCTCCTCCTCTCCCTCCTCCGCCCAACCTGGCTTCACTTTCGGATCGACGCCTTGCTCCAGTCGGTCGAAATGGTGCTCTCGTCCCAGCGCGGGCCTCAACCCTGGTGCCGAGTCCTTCCTCGTCCTTGCCGCCCCCGCTCCTTTCCCGTCCTCCGCCTGCCACCGGCCCTCCTGCTCCTCCCGCTCCTCGTGCTCCTGCACACTGCTCCTGTGGTGTCTCCCTGTCCTCGTCCGTCCTCCTGCCGATGATCTTCCGTCCGCTCAACCTCGTGCTCCTCCGCCGCCCCTCCTCCTCCAATGTGCACAGCCCCCCCTTCCCTGACTGTGCACAACATGATGGGGTACCCTTTCGGGGAGTACACGTCCGCTGTGACACCGGTCGGCGGATACATACTGAAACAACTCCGGATTTTTTTCACGGGGGGGGATTAACCTCCCGACTGGGCTTGCCCAATCCCGCCCCCCTCCATGCTCCTCCCCCTCCTCCACCTTCTCCTCTTCATCCAATGACCCCTCCACCCGTGCCGACAGCACGTGCCCAACCCCCCCAGCGGATCCAAGGGGGGGAGTGATGATTCCCATCCAGAGTAAGCGCAATGGGAAAGGATGGACAGGAGAAGTGGGACATCGGATATGGCGCGAACGCACCTGAGCTGCCCCTCGCTCTCTCCATCCGTCCTCCCTTTCGCTCCCCCTTTCCGCCAACCCACTCCGCCTGCCTGGATCGCCTCCCCAAAGACCGACGCCTTCCGTCGGCCTTCTCCTGATTGGCAGCTCCCCCTCCCCCTCCCCCTCCTCCTCCTCCTCCTCCTCCTCCTCCTCCTCCTCCTCCTCCTCCTCCTCCTCCTCCTCCTCCTCCTCCTCCTCCTCCTCCTCCTCCTCTCTCCTCCTCCTCCTCCTCCCTCCCTCCTCCTCCTCCTCCTCCTCCTCCTCCTCCTCCTCCTCTCCTCCTCCTCCTCCTCCTCCTCCTCCTCCTCCTCCTCCTCCTCCTCCTCCTCCTCCCCTTCCTCCTCATCCTCGTCGCCTCCCCTGCTCTCCTCCCTCCTGCTCCCCTCCTCGGCCTCGTCCTTCACCCCCCGATACCCTTCCATTACTCTGGCTTCTGGCTTGCCCGCTGACCACCAACTCGCTACAGAGATGGGGTGAAGGGAGCGAGAAGCGGGGATAAGCGGAGAGGAGGGGGGATAAGCGGAGAATGGCACCGACGAGATCCCTGGGGCCTGGCCTGAGCGGAGGACAGCCTGGGGTGGTCCCCTGTCAGAGCGGGATGCGGCGGGAGGATGCCTGCCTCTGGACCAGGCGGAGGCGGCCATTCAGGACGAAGGCAAGAAGGACGAGGAGGTGAATGACGAGGAGGGATCTATTATCGCAAATGGGGGGGAAACTAGGGAGACAAAGCAAACAAACATGCGGACGAGGAAAGGCGGAGGACGAGGATGGATATGCTGACGATGATGCTGACGACGAGGATGACGACGATGATGATGATGCTGCTGATGCTGATGCTGATGCTGCTGATGATGCTGCTGATGATGATGATGATGATGATGATGATGATGATGATGATGATGATGATGATGATGATGATGATGATCGTGGTGGCAGTTGTGGTGATGATGTTGGTGATGTTCAGTGCGTGTCCCCGGCGTCGAGACCAAACTGGAGCGGCTGGAGGCTTGAACGAGGAGGAAGGGTAAGACAGGAGGAGGACTGAGTCAAGGAGGAAACATACGCAACGAGCTTGGATGCGCAGTGTCGGTCTATTGTAGAAAGAGGAGGACGACGAGAGAGACGCTGGGTGGTGGGGACGCCAAGCGGAAGTCCCTCCGGGCATGGCCGACAAAAAGCCGAGTGGCTGGCCTCGAAAAAGACAAAGTAGAGGTGCATGTCCACGTACGGCGTGCCCTCGTCCTTGCGTCCGGCGTCCGGCTACCTCTTCCCCTGCTCGTCAATGTCTTGTTGGTCGTCCTTCTCCTCCTCCTGCCAATTATCCTACAACATATTGTTCGTCCTCATCCTTCTTACTCGCCTGCCTACCATTTTCCCCAACATGATCCTGCTGCCTCGTCAATATAATCCTCGCTCCTCCTCCTCCTCCTCCTCCTCCTCCTCCTCCTCCTCCAGCTCCTAGTGTTTCGTGCCCCTCCGCTTCCTTCTCGTCATATCACCATGCTGTTCCATCCCAGCATGCTTCATGCAATTTCATTTCTACTACTACACCTCCATTCCTGAATGCCACTTTTTGTTGTGGGCACGCTCAAGCACTGGAGCTGTAGCGTTCTAGGGGGAAGAAACATCAGACACAATACAACGTAGCAGCGAATCCAGCAGCAAGTCGTGCGGAATAGGGATTGTAAGACACAAATTGCGAAAACTGAAGAGCCCGCGACGGTATCTGCGTGTTTCTCCGCATCCTCTCCCCCTCCCTCTCGAAGCTAGAAGCTGGCGGGAAACGTCACGCCGAGCGGGTGCGCCCCCCCCCCCCCCCCGGCGCCGTCGAGTAGGTGTGCGGGGGGGGGGCACTGTGGGAAAGTGGCCCGGTCAGGGCGGAGCCGGCGAGTGGGACGACGGAGGACAAGGAAAAACGGCACGAGGGGGGGCCGAACACCCCTTCCCTATCCCACCTGCTCCTCCACCTCCTGCTCTTATTCCTCCTCCTCCTCCTCCTCCTCCTCCTCCTCCTCCTACTCCTGGGGCTCCTCCTCTTCCTCCTGGGGCTGCTCTTCCTACTGCGCCTCCTCCTCGAGGTGCGCACTTCCCCGGGCACCCCTCTCGATGGGAGGGCGTGCCGTGCTGCGTGCACGGGCCCGCGGAGGATCCGGCGGGGCGGGGGAATAGTCCGCAGTGCCTTTCGGCTGCCAGGGTGCCTCGTCATCGCTGTCCTCGTCATGTTTCTCCTCCTGCTCACACTCCTGCTTCTCATCCTCCTCCTTCTCCAACTCCTCCTCCCCCTCCTCCTGTCCTCCTCCTCCTCCTCCTCCTCATTCTCCTCCTCCAACTCCTCCACCTCCTCCTACCCCTTCGCCGTCCACATCGACCTCCTCGTCCTCGCCACCCCCTGCCCCTCCAGCACAAATTGGGCAAAGGGGAACATCTCCGCAGGGCTGCTGCTGCTGCTGCTGCTGCTGCTATCTCCTGCGCCCGTCCCCCTCGTCCTTCACCCCCGCCAACCCCCTCCTGCTCCCGCTGCTGGCGTTTGCTCCTCACTGAACCGCCTGCTGCTGGGCTGCTGGCCCCCACGACCCCAAACTCCGATGTCGCGCTTTTGGTCGCAAGCCCGACGGCCAGGAAGTCTGGGCCCCTTCCCAGGCACCGACTGTTCACCCCGAGCTTTTTTACGTCGGCTGTGGACAAACCTCCCTTTAGTAAACCTCCCCTTCGTGAAAACGGCCTGGGACCGAATTCGACGGACCTGGACCCGCAAAAATGACAGCCGCGACGCCCTCTCGTGAGCCGAAAACGGCCAATTCCTTACTCGACGTGTCAGGGTAGGAGGTCTATCAACCTCCTTCTATTCACCCCGAGCTCTTTTGCGACCGTCCTAGGGCACGTCAGGTCCGATGAACGGGGGGGGGAGTCGTGGCAGGGAGGGTTGGCGAATCCGCTCACGCAGCTGGCCTTCTCGGCGCCTCCCGGCGACGGAGGCGCCAACGCGTAGAGAAAGAGGCGTGGCGGAGGGGCCGAACCAGGCTGCATGCATCAATTTCTGTCCCACATTCAACTCTCGGGCCGGGCGAAAGGGGGGGATAACAAAGGGGGGGTTTGAGAATCAGCTCACGTAACTGATTTTCCCGTCGCCTCCCGGCGCCGGAGGCGGCTATTATGTATCGAGGAATGGGCCCCTCGGTGGGGCCGAAACCAGCTGCATGCAGCAAATTTCGTAACCCCCCCTTTCCCAATCCCCCCCTTTCGTCCGGCCCGAAACTCGTCCGACCCGAGCATGGCGAGAGCCCCACCGGAAACCGAACTCGGAAGCTGGGCGAGGGCTAGCAGATTCGTGGCGGGCGTGTCCCCCTGCAGGGGGATCACGGACGAACAATTCAAAGTACTCCACAGATGCCCCCCACATGGGCAAAAATAGTCAAAACATCGTCTCCAGACTATCTTTGATTATTCTTGGATGCTCCTCCTGTAGAGGGACAGGCCCGACTTAAGGCTAAAAAGGTATCCCTGGAAATTAAAAACAAATTCCCGGAATAAAGCTCAGCGGAGTAAGTACAGTCGGACTCGATTGGCCAGGACACGCGAGAGGACACAAGACCCTTCCGAGGGCCACGTTGCCACAGGAATGTAGGAAACATGTGTTGTCGCGAGACACAGGACACAAGGGTACCTTTGATTTGGCAGGGTCGACCTACCAATCTGGGCCGACTGTAATAAGCGGGCTGCTCCCCGGAAGGGATAAGACAATTTCCCGGAACTCCGTTTCAGCAACCACGGGTCTGCTGGCCTTCGCCTGGCTTCTGACGAACGCTGCCCGAACCATCCGTGGTGCGTTCCTTTTCGCGCGCCGGGAAGGCCGGGTCCCTCCCGCCCCGCCCGCGCCCCCCGCCGCGGTTGGCGAAAGGGCGCGTCCGTCGGCATGCTGGCGAGGTACCTGGTGGGAGGGCTGAAACGACGCGAAGATCGGGACAAAATGGGATCGGGATAACTCGGAATCTCTGAGAGTCGGCGGGTTTGGAGGATGTATTGGGCGGCGCGGCCGCTCCAGAGCGTTCTGGAACGCTCTGAGAGCGCTCCGGAAAGCTCTGGAGCGATTTATCCCGATCCTAGCCCTGTTTTAAGGGCCCCCCACCCGCGGAGGGGACGGATGTCCCGTCGCCCAGGGGCGTCCGGGCGCAGGGAGGGGGGAAGGGGGGCAGACACACGGAGAGGGGAAGGATGGGGGAGGATGAGGGGGAGGAGGAGGGGGAAGGAGGAGGAGGAGGAGGAGGAGGAAGAGGTGGAGGACGAGGGAGCTTCCCGAGCTTCCTCGACGGCCGCCAGAGGACACTCTAAAGGCCCCTAGTCTTCTTGCCTTTGGCATTTTTAGGGGCGGCGCTCGACGAGCAACCGCACCTCACACAAGCGTGCAAGTTCATGCGACCAAACTACGGCAACGAATGCGAACGGTTGAACTCGCTCCCCCTCGCCCTGATCCGTCCTCACGTCCCTTCGAACGCCCTCCGAACCAAGGGCCGCAGACTGCTTGGGAGCACACGGTTTCAGGCGGAATCGCATGGCCTCTTGCTTGATCGACCGCTCACGCTACAACATCGACTGGTCTCAATTTTCTTCAGGTGGGGCGGGGGGCGTCTCAATGAACCCCGCCTTCTTGCAACGCTGCGCGGGCCTCGGGTCTGCCTCCGAAGGGGTAGGGGCCGCGACCTTTAGACCACATTGGTGTCGCATCGCTCTCTTGCGCACCACGTGTACCACAGCGTCAACGCATTATACTACAGGCTTCACCATGGCGCTGGCTGAAAACAGTCTCGGCTGAACACTCGGTTAATTCACCAGCACGCATGGTCCATGCAAAAGATTCGGAAGGGATCCATGTGTCCTCCTGCTGACTGTGAACGAAGCAAACATCTATGGCCCCCAACCCCCCTTCACGCATGGCTCTCTTGATCTGCCACCACATGTCTCCAGTGTTGCCGAATGGCTGGGCAGAGCGCCACTCACGCCACCCGCGCAAGAGCGGTGTGTGAGAAGCGCGGTACCTCAAGCAGCCCCTGCCACAGCGAAGGGCAGCGATGAACGCCAGAGGCTCTGCTCTCGGCACTGCCTATCCTGGCCCAAGCAGCCCCGCCATGCCGCCCGCCGCCATGCTCCCGCGCTCGCCACCCGAACCGTCGCCGAATACGTCCCGGAAACCGTCTTCGCCACGGCGCTGGGCCTCTCCTCATCGCCCAAGTCGCCGACCTCGTGCTCGAACTCGCTGGCGTCCTCGTCGTCCTCGTAGTACTGGTACCACGTCCACCATGCTTGTGGCAAACAGCACCGCAGCCAGAAGCACGGCGCTGCCCTGGAACCCTCCGCAGCCGTGTCCAGCAGCTGCTGCGTGCTGATGTAGTCTTCATGCTCGACGTTGCGTGGGCAACGTCCTAACCCCTTGCATCAACGTCTCCCCCGCGAACCCATAACGCAGACAGAGAGGAGACACATCAAAGCCTACCTCCTTCTGCCGCATCCGCGTCCAGGAGGCTCCCATCATGACCTGCAGCTGCATGGCCCAGGAACAGTACTCGCCATCGCCCTGAAGCCTGGCCAAATGATGCTTGGCCTAGTGCAAATCAGGTCCCCCCTCAAATTCAGCTCCGGTGTCACGCTGAGCCGCCTTGGACCACCAACGCCTGATGCTGGCAATGAACTCGTCTAGGATCTCCGTGTCGTCGATGTCGGTGTCCTCGCTCGTCTGCCAAGTCTCCTCACTGTCTGAATGCCAAGTGGTGGCCGCGGGGACTTCCCAGCCTGCCTTCAACAACCTGCAAATCACGGCCGAGATCGCTCCACGCACCAACTCTCCTCTCACTCCCAATAGAGTATGCGCCAGGCTGGAGGTTGGAGGTTAAAGGGGGGGGGGCAGGGAGAGGGAGGGGAGGGGAAGGATGATGGATTTTGGAGAGGGAGGAAGCAGAGAGAGGGAGGCAGGATGGAGAGGGAGGTAGGAATGATGGAGATAGGGATGGGGATTGGAGGCGAGGAGATTTCTGGACACTCTGAGCCCCTGTTGGGTCTCCGCAAACCTCCAGCGGCCCCCGAAGACCTCCTGTCGGAGGCTTGGAAATGGGCACCAACACCAACACCGGGAGTTGCCTCCACCAGGGGGAGATGATCCTAGATTTCGGTGTTGGTGGTAATATTTCGGTCACCTTGGAAGCTAGAATATTACCACCATCACCGAGATCGGGATCTTCTTCACTCGGTGGAGGCACACCGCCGATCTTGGTGTTGGTGTCAACCTCTCGGCCTGCGATCCTGGGGCCTCTGAAGACCTAGCCAATACCTCTCGAGATCGGTTCTGCAGTCCAGGCCGTGGAGCGCGGCTATCTTCGCAACCCTTGGGGTTAGCCCCTGGAATGACCTTGCCTGTCCGAAGTAATGATGGGGCGGGTACTCACGTCCCGACACGCTGCTAGCCACTGCCACACCGCACCGTCCCGCCCAGCAGACGTCGGTTGCGACTGTGCGCAGCCTCTCTTTTTTTTGGCACGGGCCCTCTGGAGAACTGGGTGCGCGCGCGGTCTAACAGAAACAGCGGCAATGAATTACAAGGTGTTCCAGCGCATGGCGAACAAGAAGAACGGGCTGGCACTGTACAAAACAAGACCTCTCCGCCGTGGCGGCCGCAGCAGCGGGCGCGGGGTGGACCGGGCGGGCCCTTCCGGGCATGCGCACGAAGGCCTGCTGTGCCTGGGCCCGATGCCATGTCGAGTCGCCAAGCAGACTTGGCTTGCTAGCGGCGTGTATTGCGGCAGGCCCCGCCGCAGCGCACCGTCGTTGCGGGCGGCAGCGGTGGGCAACACCATTTGACAATACCTGGGCCTGACGCCAGGTCGAGTCGCCAAGCAGACTTGGCTTGCTAACGGCGTGCATTGCGGTAGACTCCGCCACAGCGCACCGTCCTTGCGGGCGGCAGCGGTGGAGCACACAATTTGAGAGACTCCTGCTCGTGACTTCCTGACCAGGGGCGTTCGAGAGGTGGGGATACAAGAGGGGGGCTCGCAACTTACGGCTCGAGGCATGTGCGCGGCCGGGAGGGGTCGAGGGACGCATCAGAACAAGACGAGGCGCCATGAGAGCTAGGGAGGCATCATGGCCCTGGCCATGATACACCCCCATCAGTCATCAACCCCCTCTTGGCCGCCCCCGATTTGAGGTGAGCATCACATGCTGTAGGCCGCGCCCAGGGAAGACCAGGCGTCGATCTGCACCCAGTCGGCCCTGACAAAGGCGAGGCGCCGCAACTCCCCAGCGAAGTGGGCGACGGCGGCCGCGGCGTCCGACACCGTTGCCTCGAGGGCACCTCCTTTCGGACGCCAACAGTTACGCATATCCACCGCTCGATGATTCTCAGAACGTGCGTTAGCGCCAACGTGTGCTTGTCCACCGAGGCCCTTCACTAAGACGCAGGCGGTTCAAAGAAGGTCGACACCGACTGCGCGCTATCGGCAGAGCCGACTGGGGTAAGCAAGCGCGTGGGCAATCACACGTCCTGAGGACCATCGAACCGCCCACGAAACGATACCCTGGGGCGCAGCGGATGTGTCGAGGCCTCCCAGATGGGGTCCCAGCAGATGAGGTCGGAAGATCGCGCCGCATCGCCAATGCATCGCCGATGCATCGTCGACATCGGCGATGCATTGGCGATGTCGGCGTGTAGAGAATCGGGCTTCACATCGAGCCGCACCGCCGCCGATGCATCGGCGATGCTGCGCGATCCTCCGACCCCCTCTGCTCGGACCCGATATGAGAGGCCCAGAAAGTGGGCATCCTTGCCCCAACCCCCCTCCGATGCCCGGGCCCAAGAGTATATGCGTCCACTGCCCTGCAAAACTCCTGGAACATCGCTTCCCAGGGCTGAACCGGTCCTGGCTTTCGTATAGGCCTACCACGAATGCCCTGAGACAGATCACGTTTTTAGAACAATGAGCGATCTACCTCGGCCAGGAATATTGTAAGAACATGTCGTGGGAACAACATCATGTTATTGTCAGAGTGAGGTGGCCGAACGGTCATTCATTGTCCCTGGGTGCGTGGCTCTAGTGAGAATCCGTGGTGAGGATTCTGCTTGTTGCGTTGTTTTTGTTGTTTTTGTTGTTTTTGTTGTTGTTGTTGTTGTCGTCGTCCCCCCTGCGACCCGACCCACCCATCCGCGACCCACCCGCAACCCACCCCGAGACCCAGCCCGCGACACACCCCGCGCGACCCACCCGCGACCCATCCGCGACCCACCCGCGACCCACCCCGCGACCCATCCGCGACCCACCTTGCGACCCATCCCGCGACCCATCCCGCGACCCAGCCCGCGACCCAGCCCGCGACCCAGCCCGTGACCCAGCCCGCGACCAGCCCGCAACCCAACCCGCGACCAATACCGCGACCCACCCGCGACCTTCCCGTGACCCACCCGCGACCCACCCCGCGATCCTCCCACATTGCTTTAACGAAAAATTCGGCACCTGCGGCGGGCTCAATGTATAATTGGAAAAATTAGGCGCCTGCGGCGGGCGCCTTCAGAGCCTCGCAGACTGACGACGTCCTCGCCACCTCCTCACTCTTATCCGCAGCTGCGGGGTGCTACGTAACGTTATTTTGCGGGCCTATAGGCGGGCCAGGACGCTCCGACACTGCTTGACCTGGTGGTGGATGTGCTTAAACTCTGGCATCGGATCCTCCCCGCTCGGCCTCCTGCGAGGGCTCCGGCTGACGCAGGGCAACCTCCCTCGCCCCGCCGCTGGCAGGGCAGTCTCCAAAGGGCGCGCTGCTGCTCATCGGCGTGCGGCACATGCTCAGCAGCCAGGCCGCGGGGGCAGAAGCTGTCGCGGATAAGCTCGGGTCTCGAGCCTGAGCCAAAGCGGCTGGGAAGACACAGACTCGCGAGAATTGCTTACCGCATGCATCAACCTACCGGATTCATCAGTTGAGCTCTATGCCTCGCGCTCTCTCTCTCTCTCTCCCTCTCTCTACCTCTATATATATATATATACACGCGTGTATATATTTGAACTAGAACCATCGCGCTCGCTCAAGTCCTCGCTAGGCAGAATGGTCGAACCCTTCATGATTCCTATGTCATGATGCTTCTTCTACAGGCCTTCCAAGATTCACGAAGACGGCCCAAGTGGCTTCCAAGACTTCCAACGGTCCACCCACGGCGGCCAAAGACAGGTCCAAGAGGCACTTCGAGGGCCCTTCAATTCGCCGCGGCTGGACGTCGCCGGAGGAAAAGGGAGGAAGAGGGGAGATGAAGGGGTTTCCTGAGGGAGAAGGAGGAGGAGGAGGAGTTGGAGAAGGGGGAGGAGACCGCAGAGGAGGAGGAACAGGAGGAACAGAAGGAGGAAGAGGAGGGGGAGGAGGAGGAAATATGACATGTTTTTTTTTTTTCTGCAAACGCAAGCGAACTCGAGAATAACGGACACTTCGCCCCTTGGCCCCCCGCCAGCCCCACGCCACGGGGCGAGCACATCAACGGGCGCCGCACCGCGCGGAATGTGTGGCCCTCGGCTGGGCAAGGCAGGGTCCTATGGCTTCAAACTGCCAGCAACATATCTTTGCCGCCCTGACTAAAAACCGACACTGCAACATCCTCACCCCCTACGCTTAAGACTGCTAGTGAAATCTCCTCACCCCCCCAGGCTTAAACTGCCAGCGAAGAGTCCTCACCGCCTTCGCTTAAAACTGCCAGCGAAACATCCCCACGCCCCTGGCCTAAAAACTGTCAGCGAAATATCCCACAGCCCTCGCCTAAAACAATCCTCATCCCTTACTTTAAATTGCCAGCGAAATATCCTCACCCCCTCACTAAAAACTGCCAACGCACTATCCTCACACACCTCGCTTGAAACTGCCAGCGAAGTCTCCTCGGCGCCCTCACTCATACAGCCGCGACATATCCTCCCCCTGGCCTAAAACTGCTAGCGAAATATGCTCACCGCCCCCCGCTTAAAACTGAAAGCGAAGAATCCTCACGCCCCTTGTTTAAAACTGCCAGTGGAATATCCCGACGTCCCTGGCCTAAAACTGCCTGCGAAATATCCTCACCCCCCTGACTTGAATCTATCAGTGACATATCCTCACCGCGCTCGCTTCAAACTGCCAGTGACATATCCTCACACCTCGTGCTTAAAACTGCCAGCGAAATATCCTCACCATCCTGGCTTAAAACTGCCAAGCGAAATACCCTCACATCCCTGACGTAAAACTGCCAGCGACGTATCTCAACACACCTTCCTTGAACCAGTCCGCGAAACATCCAAAAGCCCCTGGCCTAACACTGCCAGCGAAAAATCCTCCTCCCCCTGACTTGAAACTGTCACTGAACTATCCTCACCGCCCTCGCTTAAAATTGCCAGCGAATTATTATCACGCCCCTGGCCTAACACTGCCAGCGAAATATCCTCACCATCCTCGCTTGAAGCTGCAAGCGAAATCTCCTCACTCACCTTACTTAAAACTGCCAGCGAAAACATCCTAACCACCCTGGTCTTATATTTTCACCGCCCTGACTGAAAGCTGCCAGCGAAATATCCTCACCCCCCTGGCCTGAAACTGCCAACTAAATATCATCACCCCCCTGACTTAACACTGCCAACGAAATACCCTGAACCCCGGAAATACACTGCCATCTAACGGCTTTGGTGATTCAGTTCAGTTCTGTCAGTCAATTGTGTCTACTTCCCGAACATCAAATTACACCGGACTCATTTTTATAGCGGTCACTTCGATAGTGCTCACATTCAAATTGAAGTCCAGAAGGGGCCGCGCATGCAGGCACGTGCCGCATAATCGTTTTGCACATGCCCATGCAACTCCACAAAAGCCTCAACAGCACTGCCGCACATGCCCGCACATGCCGCACAGTCCGATGCAAAGTCGGATGCACAGTCTGGCGAAAACAACATAAAACGCACATGCGCGCACATGCTGCAGAGTCGAAACATCGGAGGGGGGAGGGACAAATGAGCAGGAAAAAGGAATGAGGGGAGAAGCGAGGGGAAATGAAGGAAGCTAATGTGGCTGGCACTCAAACTGAAACACCATACCCGCATAATGGATGAGGCATGATATAACACCAATCCAACGCAAGGATGGGGTCAGCGCTCCGGTAATGGAGATCACGCGAGGATGTCTCAGGCGAACAAGGCCTGACCACCTGAGCGCAAGGCATCTCGAAACCCAGAGTTGTGAGGATGTCTCAGGCGAAAGTAGCTGGACCATCGTAGGACAGGGCATCTCGGAGGTCAGAGTTGCGGGAAGCCGCAGGCGAAAGTGGATGGACCACCTGAGCTCAGAGCATCTCCCAGGCCTCCTCCACCCTTCTCCTCCCCCTCCCCCGCAATCTCCTCCTCCTCCTCCTGCTCAGCTGGATGACCAGAGCCACTCCTGCTACAGCGGTCCATTATGGAAGCTAATCTCGCCGCCAGGACCTGACCGGCTGCCCGCACTGATGGGATGATGAACGAGGACACAATTCAGCGTATCGTGTTTTTTTCCCCATCCCGACGCGCGCGTGGACCTGGTACTACCCTGCCACTGGAGGGCACGGGCGCGGAGGGGCGGTGTCGTGCGCCGGCGCGCACAGAAACTGCTCCAGATCTCGTGATAAAAGTGAGGGGGTCACGACCCTCCCAGACGAGAAGTTTTAGACCCTCCCAGACCATCCATGAAAGGGCGGCGCTTTGCCCAGACCCCCCCTAACCCTTCAAGACAGCTCAAATCAGACCCCCTCCCAAATGTGACCCCACCGACTTTATTATGGAATCCGGAGTACGCAGCGCGGGCTGCCACCAGCTTGCCATGCTGGCCCGTGCGCCACGCGATGGGAGACTCAAGCCTGGGTGGATGCGCCACCTCTGCGCACTCCAGGCCGAAGAACCTCCCTTCGGCCAGCTTGCCTTCTGAAAGGATGTTCGCCTGTCTCCCAACAGAGGTTCCCGTTTACGTCTGATGTTCCTCCCCCATGCGCGTTTTATGGGTAACTTGCACAGCGCTGGTGCCGAAATGAGGTGCTCGCTGCGCCGATCTCTGCGGCACTAAAGCGATTTGTGCTACGGCCTGGGCCGACCGAAGAGTTGATTTGAATTTCCTGGCATGCGCGTACCTGCGCACCCAGGCCCCGGCACACCCATTCCAGAAATATTGAAACATAGTGCGAGGAAGAGCGAGACATGAAAAAGGCGAGCCATGGAGGTCATGGACAACAGGGAGCCCAAAGGGAATCCATCAAGTTGATCAGGTGACGGCCTTTCAGAGGTCCCCATACTTCGTGTGATACGGGGATCTGCGCTCAATGTGCTTTTTCATCCATCCAGCGGTCCACACCGTAGCGTGAGAGAGAATTTGACCAGCTCCCTCGTAGAATTGATCCTTCCATTCTGACCTCTCCTCTTCGGGTGCAACCTGGCAAACGTAATGAACGAAGAATGCCTCCTGCAACTGTAGTGGCAACCATCCGGTCTCAATCAGACCTTGGACATCAATATGGTGCGCTTTCAAAAATGTGTAAAAGCTTTTGAAACGACTCCCAAATTCGTCATTGACACCTTTGGCGAAGCGCATCTTTGCATCTGGCTTTAAACGAAACCATTTGTCCTTAAACGATTTAGTTGTAAGGTGACTGCCATCTTGTTGAGGGAAGTCCTTGAAATATTTTTGCACTGCTTTCTGAGTAATCCGTCGAATCGGGAAGTGACTGTCCTTCTGCTCTTGAATTTCCGACTTCAGCACCTTGAACAGATCTGCTGCAAATTGGGCTGAATCCATGCTGTCTTTCTTCGGATACTTAATGCTCCAGTTCTCACCGTCACACCCACCACCATGCAAAATGATCTTGCCTGACTGTTCCGCAAGTTCGACATGTAAAGTGTCGTCGAACTGTTCGTTGGCATCGATGAAACTCGAAAGCTGGTGCGCATCAAATGATGTGATGCTAGGACATGTAGCGCGTAGGTTAAACACGATCTCATTCTTGCGAAACCCAACATGGCGGCCCATCTGCGTTTGATACTCTTGTTCGTCAGATTTGCAGGCGCACAAATGCCAGCCGATCGCAAACATGCATGCAACGAGCAAGCCCTTCATCGCCAAAGCCACCAACAGTCCACGAAAGCCTGCAGGTGTCAGGTGGTATTGTGTCCCGCTCCTCCTCCAGGCCCTTGAACCAAAACGGCTACGGAACAGCCCTTTGGGGCTCTCTCGGATCGTCTTGGCGCATCTGGATGGCGTTATGTCGGGCGTGTCCCCCTACAGGGGGATTTTCGACGAAAAATGAAAAATACCACAAAAATAGCCCAAAAAGGTTTTAAACAAATACTCGTAAAATAGTCCCCAGACTATTGTTAGACGATTTTTGGACTATTTTTGGGGGTATTTTTTTATGTTTCGTCGTGGGGGGACAGGCCCGACTTAAGAATAGCGCCGTGGGGCTGCCTTGGCCCGTCTGGGGGCGTCCTCGGAGGTCTGGTCCCCCCATGCAGACTCGAGGTCCCTGGACTGGGGCCCCGGACCCCGTTGCCAGGTATGGATGTACAGGGCAGTTTTTGATACATAGGATTTCTAAACACAGAGGATTCTTAATACATGATCAATGTATGAACGAATGTATGCATGAACTCATGGTTGTTTTTAGTACTAGATCCCTGCATTTTTAATACATGATCCACACGCGGAACATGTATAAAAAACGGCACTGTAAGCACATGCCCGGCACCGTGCCCCTGCCTGTGGCACTGCAGCGGCGTGTCCCCATGTCCCTTGCTCGACCCCTGAGCCTCAGTCCTCACAAATCCAGAGGGTTCGTGAGGACTGAACCTCGACCCCTGAGCCTCGACCCCTGAGCCTCAGTCCTCACAACCCAGACCTCGAATTCTCGAATCCTCTCTGGGGCTCCTGGGGCGACCTCTTGGGGCCACCCGCGGGCTCCAGGACGGACCAAGAGGGCCCCAGGAGGCCGCCCGAGAAGGCCCGAGAGGATCCCGCATCGTCGAGCAATCGGACCGAGACGCCCAAGGTGGCCCCAAGACGGCCCCAAGAAGCCCTGGAGACGCCCCAAGAGCCTTCCCATGACGAGCGAACAACTCACACCCATACCCATAGGAGGGTCGAAAGGAGGGGAACTGGCTATGGGTATGGGTGCGAGTTGTCGGACCCTGGGGGACGCTCCCGTTCGAGCGGGTACCCCATCCGACAACACGCACACATAGCCTCCGCCGTCCCCCCTATGGGTATGGGTGCGTGTTGTTCGATCGTCATCCCATGAGGTGCAATAGTCCAACCAGCCCCCTTGGCGTAGGGGGTCCAACGAGTTTTTTTTTTCCCCTTCACCAAAAAAAACCTCTTCCCTTCGGGGAGGGGTACCCTCCCCCTCCCCTCTCTGAGGTTTCTGCTGGGGGAGGTCGCGAGCAGTCAGGGCGCCCAAGCTGGCTCCAAGAGAGCGTCCGATGCTACAAGAAGGCCTCCAAGATGGCTCAAGATAGCCAGAGATGGCTCCCCATATACCTCCAAGAGGCCCAACGAGGGCCACAACCCCCAAGGGTCGAATATACTTCAAAGCCTGAGGAAATTGACCGATTGCTGCCTCTCGCATTTCCGCTGTGAACGGGCTTCTGGGGCCTCAAGATGCCACAAGAGATGGCCCAAGAGAGCCCCAAGAGGGGCCAAAGAGACGCCCCAAACGGCCTCAAGGGAGCCCAAGATCGGCCCAGACGAGCGCCCGAACGGGCGATGTTGATGGCCGCAGAGCGGGAAGGGAAATCGAGGACACCCTACAATATTCCCCCAAGGGGCTCTACATCAAGGGCGTTGGGAGTTCCCAGGAGGTTTGCGGGCCACGCACTTGTGTAACCTTCCTCCTCTTCCTCCTCCTCCTCCTCTTCCTCATCCTCCTCTTCGCGCTCCTCCTCCTCCTCGTCCTCCTCGTCCTCCTCCTCGTCCTCCTCGTCCTCGTCCTCCTTCTCGATTCCCCTCCCGTCGGTTTGGGTAGGGGCGTTGTTTCATTCCTCGACTACAGGGCCCCCAAAGACACCTTTACAGAGCCGCACGAGGATCCCAGGGCCTTCCAGAAGAGCCCCAAAGAGAACCCCAAGAGGGCCCCAAGAAACTCCTCGGACGGCTGAACAATTGTTTGTCCACGTTGTCCTCCTCCTCCTCCTCCTCCACGTTGTACTCCTCCTCATCCTCCTCCTCCTCCTCCTCCTCCTCCTCCTCCTCCTTGTCTGACCCTCCCCCTCCTCTCCTCGCCCGCTTCGTTCCTCTATGCGTGCTTCTTCCTCCCGTTTCCCGTCATCTTTCGTGGGCATCGTTTCTGAATGGGCTGGTGGGGATGCGCGCAGCGTGAAGAATTTGTTTCGAAGGTGTTTCAATGTGGTAGGGGTTCTTTACTGTTCGAGACGCTCCAAGATAGCCCACGCGGATCCCAAGACCGCCCCCGGACGGCCCAAGAGGGCCCCAAGGCGGCCCACGAGGGCCCCAAGATGGTCCACGAGGGCCCCAAGATGGCCAAGTAGAGATTCAAGACGGCCCCAAGAAGGGCCCAATAATGGGAGCCCGATCGAACAATTCGAGCCTTCCGTCCCAGCATGCCCCCAGGAGAGCTCCAGGAGGCCTCCATGATGCCCCAAGGAGCCCCCAGAAAGCCCCAAGCCGCTCAAGAAGCCCCCAAACGGCCACCAAGAGGCCTTAAAACTGCCTCCACGAGGCCCCCGAGAGGCCTCACGCGACATCCTAACGACCATCCCAAGAGGCCAATGGCCCACTTTCCACGCACGGTGGCGGTTCGAGCCGAAGGGCATACACACATACATGTGTGTACATATGCACATGCATGTATGCATGCATGCATACATACATACACTAGAGCCATGCTGGCACTTACAGCGCGCGGTGGAACCATCGAGGTGGAAGTAGGTGCAGGATAATCGAGGGTTCACTAACTATTCGCTGAGGACGGCAAGCCATCATGAATGAGGACACACAAAGACAACCACAGGAGTGAGGGAGCAAAAATCTGCCGACCCTGTCGGCGTGTGTGAGGGGCTTATCTCTTCAAGTCGTCACCTCCATCAATCATCATGTCCGTTGTCCTCTTTACCTGCGCCCTCCTCCTCAAGCCTGTCAGCGAGAGAAACATCTAGCAATGTCGTAACCGAGTTCAAGAGCACCCCCCTTCTTTTTCATCCCTGCCCCGTCGTGGGGTGGCCCTGGGGGGGTAGGGGGGCGTCCCGGGGGGGGGGGGTCAGATACGCATCCCATCTCCCGGGGCCCCAAGGCCTCAGAAAGCACCAAGACAAGCCAATCGTGCCCCAAGAGGCCCCCTAGACGGTCCAAGACGGTCCCCCATTACCAAACTAACGGTCCCAAACGCCTTCACGCCCTCCAGACTGCCCAGGAGGCCGCCAAGACGTCCCAACAAATTCCAAGAGCACCCCCGAAAAATGACCCCGCGAGGAACAATTCTTTGACTTTCTCTTGTTTCAGGATTTGGGTGTTCTCGCCTTTTCTGCCCCCGCCGCTCCAAGACGTCCCGAAAGGCTCCAAAGATCGCCCCAAGACGGCCCAAGATGCCTCCAAGGGGCCCCCCGCAAGCAGCCCTAGAGGACCCCAATGGCCCAACGCACCCCACAACGCCTCCAAGACGGCCAAAGAAGCCCCCGAGACGGCTCCAAGAGCGTGCCCAGCCGGGGGACCCGAACGGACATTTCGAGCCCTGGGCCCCGAGTGGCTCCCAGGAAGCTCCAAGAGGTTCCCAAAGAGGTCCCCAGAGGCCCACAAAAGGTTTCCCGGAAGCCCGAAGAGGCTCTCAAGAGGCTCCAAATAGGCTCAAGAGGCTCTCAAGAGGCTGTCAAGAGGCCCCAGGATACATCTGCAGAGGCCCCCGAGAGCCTGCCGAAGAGATCCCAAGAAGCATCCCTCTGGCCCACGTCAGCGTCGTCGTCGCCGCCGCCGTTGTCGTCGTCGCCCCCTTCAGGGTCGGCGGCACCGGCCGTAAGTCCTTCGCAATCGTAGGGAAACCTCAGGCAACAAAAACAATGAGATTTGCCTCCCAGCAGTCTCTTGGGGGCCCTCTGGGAGCCCTCAGGGCGTCTTGGGATAATGGGAAGGAAGGATGAACATACCGCAGCGGGGGGGGAGGGAGGAGGAGAGAAAAGAGAAGGATGTGGAACGGTAGACGAAGGAGAATCGCGAACAAACCACATATCAAGGAGAACGGACAGCGAGGGATGGAGAAAACGGAAACGTATTCGGGGGCACTCCGAAGTCTGGGAGTGGAGGGAACGGAAGTAGGGGCCGACCTTGAAACCCAAAAAGGATCCAAAGGTACTTTGTTCATACTGGGCCTCCTGCCACAGAGTGGGGCAGGATGCTGGGTCAGGGAGGCGGAGGAAGGAAAGAGTGAAGTAGGCATGAGGGATGGCGGAGACGGAAACGCATGAAGGAGGCGGAAAGAGGAACGCGTGAAGGAGAGATGGGAAGGGAGGAGGGAATATGACAGCGGGGAGAAGAGAGGAGGAGAGGAACGACACTCATGTGGAACGGGCGACGGAGAAAACGAACGGACAACGAGGGATGGAACAAACGGAAATGCACTCTGGGGGCACTCTTCGGAGCGTACTTTTAGGTCGGGCCTGTCCCCCTACAGGGGGATTCTGGGGGGATAAAAAAACCTAAACATAGGCCAACAATACCCCAACAAATCGTCCACCGACTATTTTTTTTAAACTATTTTTGAACATTCCTCCTGTAGAGGGACAGGTCCGACTTCAGTGTATTTGGGGCCTCGGTGGTGCCTCTTCGGGCGTCATGGGGATCTATTGTGGCCTCTTGGGGGCCCCTTCGCGCCTCTCGGGGCGCCTCTTAAGGGCATCTTGGAGCTTCCCTGGAGCTCTTGGGGAACTCCTGGAGACCTCTTTGAGCGATCTCGGGTGCTGTTGGGGGCTTCCAGAGCCGTCGGGGGGCCGTCTTGGACAGCCTTGGAGCACGTGGCAAGAGGCGGCACGCCTGGAAATCCGCCGAGTTCTAAAGTCAGGTCCCTCCCCTGCCAGGCTGGGACGGTGTCCTGGGGAGGGGGTGGAGGGTGGTGGAGGGTCCTGGGGGTTGTGATCCCTCCCCCCCCTGGTGGAGCACCCGTAGCTGAGATCGGCTCCAGAGCGTCAGCGTCGTCGTCGTCCTCGCAGTCGCAGCCGCCGCCGCCGCCGTCGCCGTCGCCGTCGCCGTCGCCGTCGCCGTCGCCGTCGCCGCCGCCGCCGCCGCCGCCGCCGCAGCC